GGAAGTCTGCTGTTGTATAGATGTAGATTATAAATAACATGAACTGGAATTATTTTAACAGTTTTCCCCAAAAAAGAAAACAACAGAAAAATGACAAACTTTTTTTTCTTGGAAAATCATGAGTGAATGCATGCATTCAAATAGGCATGAAACTGAGAAGTTAATTTTAAGTGATGGAAGAGAGATTCATTCTATCAGTATGGACCTCATATGATTTTTCCAATCACAAAAGAAAGATTTCTAAAGGAACAGTTGATGAGAAGAGCATCTAATTTTCCACATTATATGTGTGGCAAAGGAGAAGGAACATCGGGTAGGACAGGAAAAAGAAGAAAGAAACCATCCAAAGAGAAAGGAAGTTCCTTACTAGTACTTGGAGCATACTCGTCCTTGGTCACACTTCTGTCCCAGCCTGGAAACGCTGTTGTGTAAATCGTCTCCTCTGAAGAGTCTTCATCATCTGAACCATTGCCACTTGAGGTCACATCTGCTGTGATGATGTTAAATCTCCCATGAAGCCCTAACCCACAAGGTCTTCTGCTGACAGCAGTTACGCTTTCCTGTCTCCCCTACATGCAGTCTTACAATCACAGGGGAGAGTACACAGCACCGTCCTTCCCATAGTCCATATCTCCTGCTGGTCCTTCCACCCACAAGGGATTCATCACTCTGCCATGGCCCTGCTGAAGCTGCCCCAACGTGGCTCTTGGCTCCATTTCAGTGCACTATGCATGCTCACAGCACTAACCATACTCTATATGGTATGCATATACAGCATACACAGCACTAATCATATACCACACATTCAGCCCCTCTCCACTTCATGCTTCTGAAGTTTGCTGCCCTGGCACTCTGGTTATTAATCCCCTAATCAAAGCGCCCTCTTAGCATGACATTCTTTACCCTTGGTTGCTTGCATGGGTTCTTGCGTCTTCTCTCCAGGATTTGACCACCACCAGTGGTTTGAGAATGGATTCCACAGAGACTGGGTGATGGCTTTCTCCACGTTGTCATGATGAGGCCCTGGAGCTGTTAGGACATGGTTCATTCAACCAAGATCTTGTTATTATTTCTTGAGAAGGACTTTTCCTCCAGTTAAGTCAAGTGCACCAGCACCAGCACCCTGAGCATGCTCACGCCACTGAGATCAATGTGAGTGCAAGGCAAATGTATGAACCCATGGTATCATTACATTCCTCCAACAGCAAAAATATCCAATGTAAGTGAAGTTTGAAACATTCTACTGAAGTGTAAGATAGTGTTACCAGCTCTCAAAGTCCAGTAAAGTCAATGAATTCTGCATAGCATTTTTAGGTGTGACAAATCAAAGTATGTACTCTATGTGAAATACACCCCGATATTTTGACAAAAAGCATTGAAAGCTAATAGAAGCATGCACACCATAGAAACCAAAATCCCTCAAGTTGATAGTTTAACCTTTCTCCTTGCTCAGAAAGTTATTCATCAATAAGCTGAGAAGTAGGGTTTGCAAGAAGAGCTGTGCTTCAAGTCATACATGTATTCACCAAAAGAAAGCAAAATCTACTTCAAAATGTTTCTCTGGAAATATTTTTATTCTGGAAAATCCTCACAAGCAATATTTTTATCAGCATTTAGACTATCTTACTTCTATTTCATGAAGATGAAGAAAAGATATCATGTACTCTTTTTCATTCAGAAAAAAATCTTTAAATAATTAATTTAGAAACATACCTTGAAGACTAACATCAAAGAAAATACTTTTGATAAATTTTGAACAATATATGAAAGCATTGAAAAATGCAAGACCTAGGAATCAAAGTTCTAATGATCAAACAGGATAAACTGATGTTCTTCAGTCTGCAGTAGTTATGTTTTGCTTATCTGTAAGCTGCAAAGTGTACAAAGTGTACAGTCTTAAACTCAGAACTGCATTTTTTCAAAGTGTAGCTATTTTGGCAGCAAAACCTAACAGATTTTGCCTTTCTGAGATGCTGTCCTTGACTGAATAAATATTGTCTCTTCCCACAGTCACTAATTGCTCCCTAAAATTACTACTACTAGTACTACTCCGACATTGGTGTCAGAAAATGGGAAACCTGGACATTTAAAATCTGATCTCTCAGCAATGGACCATCAAAACCCAGGTAGTCTCAGATTTGGAGCTTTGGGATGGAACTGTGAACAAAATGGTAATGCCAAAAAATTGCTTAACAAGACAATAACGAAATAACTAAATAATTGCCATCTGACTTGCTGTAATTGCAGCAAAGTGATCTCACGTCTACCTACTTTCCACAGCTCATTTTCTTAAGTGATGAATATATATTCTTGTCTTCCTTCCACATACAAAATACCAATGCAGATGCTTTACTGTCAGATTAGCTGAAGTATGGACGTAAGACTTTTTTCATTGGTGAGATTTTTTTCAGGGACTGCTCCAAACCAAATAAAAGGAAAATCCACCAGATCATAAAGATGTCTATTATATATGGATGAACAAAAGCAGTTGCAGTTACTGTTTGAGTAACTAGCTCTGATAACTTAGGGAAGTGTCTCATCGATTAGCATTTTTTGACATCTGATACATGGCTCATCTACAGATGAATCATAACTTATTAATAACAAAGAGAAAAACTCATTTCAGCCAGAAGAGAAAGTCAATGGTAGAGTGCTGGCAGTGTATTAATCTGTACTGTGAACTTACGAAGAACATCACCAATAATGTCCAAAGCCAGAGCAATAATGAAAGGGAATCATATGAAGAACAAGGAGCTGTGGCAATCACTCACTTCAAACCCATAGCAAAGAAGTGTTTTGATCAAGCTAGATGCCTTTTCACCAAAAGTTTACAAATGGTGTGTAGTATAGATGGAGAGTCACCAGTTTTGTTTCTCACTTTCACACACTATAGAATTAGATAGATATATTTTTAGCCACCTGTCTGAAGATATATGCCAAATAGATTTCTTGACTTATTTCTTAATTTTCTACTTTGTTGTCTGGGACTTTTCTCTGGGAAATTCAACTGTGGCCGGGGATATTCCAACGAGCCTGTACTGTTGCACAATGCAAATAGCAGACACTGGGGCATGGCTTTATCTTCTTTTTTGTTTGTTATCTATGTAACTTTCTCCTATGCTACTGAATATTTGATAACTTCTTCAAGGAGATGCATAACTTACACTTAATTTCTGAAAGGAATGCTAAATTACTCATTCATTTGTAATGCAGTAAAATTAAATGAAATAGGTCTGTTTGGCTTTAAAGTGATGTTGCTGAGTAATAGCTAAAGCTATCAGAAAAGTCCAGGTGCAGTACTTTCATAATCTTTTTTTTTTCCAGAGAATAAATCTATCAACCCTAAACCAATAAGCAGTCATAACAATGCTATCACTTCTGTGATACACATATATCAGTATTGACACCTTTGGTTACATAGCTCTATAGCTATTTTTATCTTTTAAAATCTTAAGTACCTCTAGTTTTCCCTCTGTAAAATAGTCATGCCCATGAGATAGAACTGTTAGCAACAGGAAGGGACATACGTATTTAGGATCAATATATTAGATAATCAAGTAGTGTAAGTAAAACCGAAATCTTTCTTGCCTAGAAACAATGCACATGTTTTTGCAATGGGTACAGAATCGTCTGTACAAGGAAGCACTAAGTCACACACGCATACAAAAGCAAATAAATATGAAGGAAAAATTACCACCCGAGTCAACCAGACAAAGTCCCTGCTGTTACCAGGCAGGATTCCCCCCGCTTACAGGCCATACTGTGTAGCAAAATATTTCACTTGAAACAAGCACCAGAAAATTCTCTACTTGCTTTCAAGGCTTGGAGGAATATCAACATATTTCTTTTTTCAATCTATGTAGTTATAAAGTTTTACTAACCTTCACATCCTGTGAGACAAAATGCTTAGTTGAATGATTTCTGCCTTTCAGTAAAGCTTTTGCTAACTGTGTAAAACATACAGTCATCCTTATTCTATCCTATGATAACTAAAACCAGTAACAAGGGCACTGTCCCTCCAAGTCACATAGACCATTTGACCATCTATCAGCAACCAACAAACAATTAAGCAAATTCCTCACTATCACAGGCTTCCATGGTGGCAAAAAAGAGTCAGAAGGAAGAAACTCATTTCTAGCAGTTCAATCTTTACTATAAGACACCTCTGTAGATCTCCTCTGTATAATTAAAATGGTCTCCCTTTAGGTTCACTTTATTTTCTGGGGCAAAGATCTTTATCACTCTAAACTTAAGAACTAGATATGTACAGTTCCACTTTAAAATGTGTAAGATGACTTTAAAAGTTTTTTATTTGCTGTAGCAGCTGTGCACTACATATTTGATACAAACATCACAAGCAGTTTTCCCATTCATTACAGCTGTTTAAGGACAAAGCAGAGAAAATCACTACTGTTCTTTTGAGCCCTCAAAGCCTGTGGAGCCACCACAGGCTCCAGTTTTTTCTCATGCATTTTGCAAACAACAAAGATGAAATCAGTTTTTGCAGTACGCAAGTGGCTTGGCAATTGGAACTGCCACTTAAAGCAGTGCTTTGGTGAGTAAGGCCATGGTTTTGATGTGGATTACCCACATTCATAACCACAAACATATTAGAAACACACACACTTTCATCACAAATTGTCAAAAATGTCCTTTTCTACCTCAGAAATAAATTCGAGTGATAGTTGGTTGCGCTAATTTGTGGTGCCTCATAGCATAAACAGGTGTGATAAAAAAGCAGTGGGAAACACAAACCAACAATCTTTCTGAACTGATGTATAAGCATTGACGTAAACATACAGTAAATGTTTTTGCTCCCCTTGTCTCAGAGAGTGAAGTTTATTTCTGACTTAACCAGCCTGGAAAGTACTGTCTTTCAATGCCTTTCCAAAACTGAGATGATGTATACTTCACCACTTACCAGAACACCCTGCTGGAAGAAGAAAGCAGTTTTAATGCAATCTATATTTGATATAGTTATTATAATACATGAATCTTACTAGTACTCGCAGGATACTGTCCACCATCTTTTTCAGGGGAATCATCAGCTGCCGTCACCAAAGAGATGTCAGGTGATACAGGAGAAACTTCATCATCTGTATGGTGATGGATGAATCATTACTATTAGCTGAATGGCAACTCAGTACTCATAACTACTTCAATTATTCTGTGCTGCTAGCTTCATTCCTTCATTTACTGGTCCAAGAGGAAGAAAGATACAGACTAGGTTCTTCATATAATTCAACCTCAAATAGCCTTACTTTACTAACATAGTAGGGATATCACCAAAACAGATTATTTCAAGAGGAGTATGTATTACAGTGATAATGAACATTCTGGCAATGATCTGTTCATGTGGTTCAAGCTCTAATTGTACATGTATACCATATAATCATAGAACAGTTTGCATTGGAAGGGTCCTTTCAAGGTCATCTAGTCCAATCCCCCTGCAATGAGCAGGGACATCTTCAATTAGATCAGGTCCCTCAGAGCCCCATCCAACCTGACCTTGAATGATTCCAGGGATGGGCACCTACCACCTCTCTGGGAAACCTGTGACAGTGTTTCATCACCCACATTGTGAAAATTTATTCCTTATTATCTAGTCCAAATCTTTTAGTTTAAAACTGTTACCCCTTGTCCTATCACAACAGGCCCTGCTAAAATGTCTGTCCCCATCTTATAAGACCCCTTTAAGCACTGAAATGCTGTAGTAAGGTCTCCCCAGAGCCTTCTCTAGGCTGAATAACCCAACTCTCTCAGCCATCATAGAAGAGGTGTTCCATCTTTCTGATCTTTTTTGTGACCCTCCTTTGGACCCACTCCAACAGGATGGGGATTCTAGAGCAATGGGTGAAGTTATTTGTATTCCCCTCTTTACTGAGATATATTCTGAGATTTAGTCCAAAACTGTAAACTCTCATGTAAGCAGAATTTATAAGAGTTGTCATGGAAAGCAATTGAAACACATGGCATATACCTTCGAGAATTGCTCTCATCCTAGTTCCTTAGGAAGAGAATGTTAGGTTTTACCTTTCATGATGCTAGCTACATGGAAAAACAAGCATAACATGTCATGAGTATACCAGCAGTGAAAAGTCATTTTATAATCCTAATGCTTCTGCTGAATTATTTTTTTTTATTTCAGTATTTGTTAAGGATAATGATGCAAACTGCTGGTTCCTTCATAGGTAAGTTAGTGGTGATTTCATAAAAAGCTTGTAGTCAGAGATCACACAGTAAACTTTACTGTACTTATCTGTATTATATCTGTATCCCTTAGATTCAATGGGAGCTAGTCTTTCAGACCTCTGATAATTTTAGCCACACAAGCAACAAAAAAGAGGAACTAAAAAACATGACACTTTCACAGGAAAGCAACATACAGGAAAGGCACTATAATTAATTAATTTTCCACCCTGCAGAATGCCCTAGAAATGAGTATGGCATTTGTATTTGGTAGGGCTTAATGAAAATAGAACTTGGCTTTACCACCTAAAGGAAGAAGATATTAATAACATTTTAATTTGACATTTTTATATCTCTGTGTATTCTTTAATAAGCTGTATTAAGAAGATGTCCTAAAAAAATCCCTGTATTGTGCAAAGAGAAATCACTTGTACTGTAAACTCCTCCTTGTTATTACTTAATGTCAATTCATCTTTTTAGAGAACAGATAAGAACGTTATCCTTATCTCTATATACCCATATCCTCAGCCTCACTAACCTTTTTGTGTTCATTGCTAGATATGTTTTTGAGCCTTTAATGAAATAAATATTTTAATAAGAACAAGAGCAAATTCTTAGAACCATGTATTCTCAACATCCTGGGAAAGTTTATGTGGGAAACTATGCTGATGTGTGGATGCTTTGTACTCCTGTGCAATCAAAAAAATCCTTAGAAATTCAGAATGCTTCTGTTTTCTATCAGATACACATTCTCCTTTTATTTCTCCAGGATACAAAGTAGAGATGGTGCTTCTCATTGCCTCATGATGTACTTTAACTAGCAAATGTATTCCTTTGCTCAGTTATTTTAAAGAGGATATAGTGGCAATTTACTGTCCTTACCAGAATGTTTTCTAGGAATTTCTTTTTCACCTCCTCCAGAAGAATGATCTGGCAGCTGTGATGCTGGAGTAGCACTTCCATAATATGAGGGGCTGGATCTCCTGATGGAGGTATCCATGGGAGTTGTGTCATGTGTTGATCCACTACCTACGTTTTCATCATCTGCACCTGAGGTTGAAGACTCTCCGCTATGACGTGTACCATCTGCATTGTAACGTGAGCCATCTGCATTGTCAATGACTGTTGGAAAGAGGAAATGAAGCAGCTGATAATATCAAGGACATACATAGTTATATTTCAGTAATGCTAAACAATTTAAGTCCTATAACAAAAAGATAAACAGTTGTAGATTAATATCAGTTCATCGATTTTTGCCATCCTATCTACTCTGCCTAGGTCATACATCACTAAACTATGTCTAATGTATATATGCTAATGTATTTATTTGTGAAACATATAGGGCCTACTCTGCATCAAATATTTTTATATTTTAATCAGTTTGATTTTGAACATAAAACCTTGGCCTCTGTAAAGTCAACCAGAATTTTACAGTTGGGACAAATAATTTATTATAAGAGGTTCTTTCCACTTCCAGCTGCTTTTCTAACCAGCAGCTCAAATGAGAAGTAGAAGGGTTACTATCTTATGCAAAGTCCTATATGTCAAAGAAACATTAGCAGATCCGCGGTGCTAAAAAATGTAAAATACCTATATAAAAATGTTTGGTAGCACCTTGAGACAAATGAAGGTTCACAGGATTTAGAGGAAGACAAGTGACTAATTGCTTGAATTGCTGTTGAACATTTCTTGACTACTTTTTCTTATGTTTGGCTTGATTTTTAACATTAGCAATTGTTTATGTAAAAAAAGATAACCAGATCCTAAAAATTAAACAAATGGCAGGTCTTTCTAATCAATACAGTACCTATTTCACCCTGATTATTGAGGAAAGAAGTATCTAGTCTTTCAATTGGCTCACATGCTTTGTCCCTTGTTTCTGTAAAAGAACGAAAAGAGAAAATATCAATTTGAGAAAACTGAGAAAAAAGTCATGTATACCTGTATTAATTGTACATAATCACAAAATGTCAGCTTCAGATATGGACAATTGAAAACAAATTTCCAAACTAAACATTATTCACTGGTTTACCTACGTTCCCTTTTTGCTCCTTCCCAGGTGGTGGGACACTTCAAGATTGTTCTGTCAATTAACAAGATTCTCCATTTCCATAACCATTCCAGAAAACTCTTGCAATCAACTTTAGTTAAAATAGCCTTATAACCCAGTTTCAATGTAGACAGCCCCACTGTCGTGGTGTCAGTGGCAGCTCTAATCATTTTTATCCAGAGGGACTCCACCCTCTCCATGGAGGGCTCTGCACAGGCAGTGTGTGCCCTGGTCTGGTGAGCACTCCTTGCTTCAGTGGGCTGCAGTGCCACGCTCAGGGCCAGTGTGTGAGCCACACGCTTATAGTGCTGGAAGAGAGTAAGACTTGGGAGGAGTTATAAACTCTGGTGGTGATGAACATCGCTGTAGCAGAAGAGTCATCCGTGGGTGATAGGGGATGGCAGATAACCTGATACTACGACAATACAAAGGTGATTTTTAATGATATGACTACCAAGAACAAAATTTTAAAATGTTACTGCCACTCAATGAGTTTTGCCTACAGCTTTCTGTAAGATCTGTCCGTTTCCACTGTAAATGTAATAATCTACTGAAATTAAAGACACTTCAAGTTAGTCCAGATTGTATCTTCAAATACTGTGTTCTGCATCTGTCACAAGATTATCTACATTTTCCTAATAATTCAGTAAAGTATTTCCAACTATTAAAAAGTCCAAAACCTTAGAAGAAAGCGGTCTGCTTCTGACCTGCATCGCTATCTAATTGCCTAATGTCTGAATGGAGATTTGCCTTAGAGCAAATACTGCATGAACCAGCAAACGGGAGAGCAGAAGCCACATCCATGGGCCTGGGATGGCCACCCCGGGCCTTGGAGCTGCTGCAGACGGCAGCCAGTCCTAGCATCCCTTAACACAAATAACTGTTGTTCACTATAGAATATCATGTGTGCATGAACAGAAGAGCTAAGCACCATCGCCTACAACAGTTATGTCTTTCAGATTCACTGCTGCAGTGGTTCACTGCACTAAGCCATTATAATGAACGATTTTGAAGCTAGTAAGTTAGTACCAAGGGCAGAAAATGGTTTAGTTCAAAACACACTAATGACAAAATGGGTCAAATTCATTGCTGGTCTTACACACTTCTAGATACTGACACTCTAGATACACTTCTAGAGGCTGACAAAATGTATTTCTTCTCAGCTGAAAAATAGATGATATTCAATACAGAAACCTTCAGTCCAGTACCTTAAATATGAGATTACATGTTATTGTTAATCTATATCTAAAATATGTCATAAAAGCATATACATACCAGTCATATTGTAACAGTATGCATCATATCGACCAGTTGTGTTCGCTGAAAGTTTGTAAATGCCAGTATGATTTGCTGCACAAAGATGATAGGGATTGATTCGTGGGATAACAATATTCCCCACTACAAAACCATACCTGTTAAGAACAGAGGAGGAACCAACATATGACATATTACAGAAGATAGCATAAATGTTCTAGATACCTCAAACATGAGGAAGCTATGAAGAAACCATTATTTTCATTTTAAATTATTTTTAAAAAGTGCACGCATTTGCATTTATGCATACTTTTTGTATATGAAAGGTATTCCTTTCTCATATTCAGCTATATCAGTCTCCAGGCACTGAACAGCATTTTGCATATAATTTCTAGAGCTAAACCCATTTTAATTAAATGAGCATCTTATTAGCTAGGACAATCACTTCCAGAACAAGGCAGTGAAAGTGAGGGACTGGGAAGCAAGCGCACTTTTTATTCAGTGTGAGGTTGTATTACCTGACGCTAAAGACTGGTTTCTTTTCTCTTCAGGGAGTCATATTTTCATTGTTTTGAGCATAACATACTGCTGAGTGACATTTCACACAGAAATGTTGGGGGCTCAATTTATAGTATGTGAGCAAATTTAGAGAATGATTGTAAGACACATCACTTTCTGCTAAAGCTGACAGCTTAGTAAAATATTCAGATACAACACTCATTCATCCACAAATTCTTACTGTATCTTTCAGTTGAACAATATAGCTATTGTGTACAGAGCTCACATATTTCAGTGAAGACTGTGGTTAACAGAGCTACATAATGCACAATGCATTATTACTATTTTGCAATCGTGTACCACCTGATTAATGCCAATGTATTTAGCTGGGAGGTGTGATAGAACGGTAGAAAGAACTGGGATTTGGTTTGTGTTTTGTTTTACTTCTTGAGAGTACATTTTATCAGGGAGAAGTAAATTTCATACCTTTGCAGTTTTTTATCTGTGAGCCCCATTCCAGTTACATGTCTTATGTGCAGATACTTGCAATTCTGAAACTCTCTTGTAGGTGGAATTACATACTGCTTTACTCACACTTCCAACTGAACCTATGATGTTGACACTGTATAATCCATTAATCACCTACTTGTGTTATGGTCTGTTTAATCATTTTATTCACTTACCATTCCTCATATATTTTGATGATTATATGCAGAATAATTCTTCTCAACTACTCAAGCTTGATAACAGCCTAGCCTTACTGACAGGAACTTCTAGCACAGGATCAACAAATGAAAGTAAGAAGGTGGGAGGGCTGTCCAGAAGGGAGAAAGGAACCCTAACTACATGCCTTACATATCTAAGTCTGTCCTCTGCTAAACTGTGAATTATGGAGAATTGTAACAGTAATGAAAAACTACAGCTCCCAATGGCAAGAAACAGTTCCCTTTACTCCTTCTTTCAATTATTTTTATATTTTAACTTCAGAAAGGAGTTTCCACATTACAGAATACCCATAACTGCTAGTGCTAGAAACCTCTACCCCTAGGCGTTTAGATAGGAATTGATCCTTAGTCTCTACATATTGTGTAGTGCTGGACAATTCAGAATGCTAAGTATGTTCATATGCTAATGTTAGAGAAAGAACATGCCTACTATGTTACACAGAGTATGTCATACTTCCCTCAGAGTAAAGAATTGCCTCTAGTTCTTATGTGGTACTATTTTAAACAACATTCCCATTTCTTATGGAAGAATCTTCTAAGAATTGTCCACCCATTGCTCCCTGGAATTACTGTCCACCTCCTTCACCACTATGCAGGGCATAATGCTTGTGAAAATGAACATGCCATATGCTGTCATCAACGGCAGTGCATGACATTTATATGTATAAGAATGTTTTCAAGGCAATGCACATGTATGTTTCCATGATTACAAATTACTTCGTGTGGATACTATTAATTTGAAAAGAGCTTTATTCAATTCTCATAGGCTTGCAAGCCAGTGGAAAAGAACATTCATGCATTAGGCCTTAAAAAAGTAAAGCACCACCAAATAAACTGAAATTAAATAATTCACAGGAAATAGTTGCAAACAGTATTGATGCTAGTACTATTTCTAATGGTTCCAGAATGAAAGTCTTAAAATTTTGGAGAAATAGCCACTGAACATTTCTACTCCAGTCAGTTAGAAGATAAATCCCATTTCTCCGTATTTGCTGTTTATTTTAGATTGTAATAAAGTTGAAAATCTACTGAAATTTATTTCAACTCTATAATGGTTTTCCAACATGAATATGTTATTTGATTTAAAAAACAAAAAACAAAACCCAAACAAACTTCAAATATACAGCTCCTGAGTTCAGTCTCTTTTCTGCATATGAATGTTTAGGATGACTTGTATAGTAAGTTTGTTATGTGTTTTGTAAAGCTAGATCACATGATCATCTAGTCTGACATATTTACAAACCATAGGACTGTCCTGACTTGATTACTGTTTGAACAGAGGGCATCCTTGAGGAAAATATTTCATCTTGATGAAAATTTGGTGTGACACAGAATCTACTACAAACCTTGTAAGTTGTTTCAGCCAATAATTATTATACTTACGTATTTTGTTATATTGCTACTCAATTTTTTTAATCCAAAATTTTCTGTGAATAACTTCCAGTCTCTCTGTCTTATTATTTTTTGCTAAATTGAAGAGTCTGTATTATCTGCATTTGTTGCTATATATATCATTAATTACAGAGGGTAATTAAGTCATTTGACAATGCGGGTTTGGGGTTTTTAACCATTTTCATGGCTGTTGTCTGAAACTTCTCCATTCACAGATTACAAGAATGCACTAATACCGTGGCCATTTTTTCACTGGGATGTCAGGAGTTCATCCCTCACAATACCACTTGCTGCTTTTTACTGTTTCTTGATGAGATGGAGTTCCCTATACTGTACATCAATGACCTTACATCAGATCATTAAAAATCATAAATACTTTTCACATACTTATCTTACCAATTAGTCAGTGACACAGTATGATCTGAACATCTTCCTAATTAGCTTATTATACTGTGAATCTTTTCTTATCTTTAGATTTTATCTGTAAGAGGTTATGATTTTTTAAAGATAATTGGTAAAATGTATATACTGTCAAGGACTTATTTATTACCAAACCTAGAGCAAACATACACATGCACAAAGATGTTTTGTTCATCACAGAATATAACTCAGTTGAGGACTGATACAGCCATCTAATTAACAGGTATATGAAGTCAACCGTAATTATTACACAATAGCATGGACAGATGTACTTGTCAAAATATATTATTTTTTCAAGAACTTTTCTACCTGCAAGTTTCAAATCCAAGTTCATGAGCCTTCTTCAACTGCTCTAATGTTGACAAGGTACTATTGAGAGCTCTGCAGAGTTCGACGGCTTCAGATCGCGTGAGACTGTAGCGACCATTTTTCTCAACATGAAAAACTCCTCCGTATCTGCAACTTACATTGAATTCTTTTATCAAAAGAAAAGAAAAAAAGGAAATATAAATTGTTGGACTTAATGCTTCACTGAAGACCTGGAAATTATTTCTTTTCAAGTATAGTGTGTTCAATGCAAACCAGCAACAAGTAGCAGCTACCAAATCATTCAGAAAGCAAGCTAGCACTTTCAATCACCTTCTTCACACTTCCCTTCTTTGGCCTGAGACACAAGCCAAATCTTCAGCCATTCCAAAAATAGCAATACAACGTGTTTTTGTGAAGTATCTAGCACTTTTAACATACCATTAACAATAACATGCAGAAGATGTAAACACATTGCGAAAGTCTTGAAAGCCACATTACTGCAAAACTAACTGAATATTCAAATGTATTTGGAAACAAAATATTTCATTCATAACAGAATTTTTAAAAGATGAAATGGCGTATAATCAGAGCCTTTATGATCATAAGGTTCCTTAATTATGTCATTGTGATTTCTTCACAATGAATCCTTTTAAATGAATATGTATGTCAATCCACAGTTTCAGAACTAGTTCAAGAAACATGTTCCTATTATTAGTAAGACAAAAGCAGAAAGCTTGCATTGGTTTGATGTTGCATGATCTACCCAAGATCATAAACCTAAGTGAGCTGCACAGGTATTCTGAACTATTAAAAAACATTATGCTGTTAAACACTCCGTGAAAGATAATCTTTAAGCTCTTCTTACTTAGCCTACTGGGGCAGATAGAGATGCATCAAATAGACATTATATAAGAGCTCACATGAATAAACTTCTCATTCCCTGTTCATTCGTCTTGACAGTGTTTTCCTCCATTTTGAAAGGCTTCCTCTTGCTGAGCTCATGCTCACACACAAACATCTTACTGCCAACCCATGTCAGAGTTTCAATATGTACAGCAGAAAGCTTATTTAATGTTGAAAGATGACTTTAGACATATTTTAATTTAATAATGCTGTAAAGGTTTGCACATAGAAGTACTTTTCAATGACAAGCAGTATGAGGATAAAAATAATGAATAAAATAAAATATTTTAGGTGCCATAGTTATGTTGTGCAATTTGTTTTCTGGCTTTCAGCCTGGGAACCTGAACAAGTAGTACATGCAAAGCCTATGGGAAGTGAGCGCCTCATACAATTCACTACAGACACTGAATGAAAGGCATAAGGGCTAGAGGCTCTGAGATGACATTAATCTTTATGGTGGAAAGATACTGCCTACACAATGCAACAGGCTCAATGGGAAGATAGTATAATCCAAGGAAAGTCTGTGACTGAGTAAAATTAGAGGAAAAATAAACATTTATTTATCATCTTTTTTTGACAGGAAATGCTAAGAAAAAAAGTAATAACAATAATAACAAAAATAATAACAGTAATAGTAATAATACAAATAAGAATAATCATGTGCATGGAGAAAATGGGGAAAGATCAGGATGCTTCAAAGCAATGTGAATTAACTTTGTTCCTGTCCCATGTTTCCATCAAGAGAAAAAAGTGTTTGCAACTCCAGACTAACATCACAACTACAAAGCATACTTAATTGGAGTAGCCTATTATTCCCAGTGAAGAGAGGAGCATGACTCATTTTTATCTTAGTTTTAATGGGAGCTCCACATGCAGAAAGGGAAAAATAGACCAGTCTTCTCCAAATATTAGAAACGGGTGTCCGTACCATCTATTTGAAATAAAAGATGCCGTATAATAGCTGTTTTCCTAGAAAACCCAAAATGCAATTCATGCACATTTGCATTGTCACATTCTATGTGAATAATGAGCAGCTTTCCTAATGTCATTTTTGCTTGACAGTCTACTTTCTTCTATAGCACAGATGTCAATGCAAATGATAATAATCAAGGCATGAACCCTTCCTTCAATTGCTTTTGTTCATTGGTAAACTGAGGTTATTCTATCTACAGTGTGTCTACTCAGTGTAAACTGCAAGGCATGTTCCTTTCCACAGGTAGCAGAAAACAATGAAGAAGATGAAGTACCAGATTAGATCCAGACTCTATGGTGTATGAGAAAACAACCATTATTCACAGCATAGGTAGGAGTCCAATAGTATTGATGACTGCTTGTCCAAAGCATCTCGAAAGCTGTACATCCAATCTTAAATACTTTTACCACAGGCAATATACTTGGCACTGGTGAGGCCGCACCCTGAATGCTATGTTCAGTTTTGGGCCCCTCACTACAAGAAGGATGCTGAGGTGCTGGAGCATGTCCAAAGAAGGGCAACGAAGCTGGTGAGGGGTCTGCAGCACAAGTCTTATGAGGAGCGGCTGAGGGGACTGGGGTTGTTCAGTCTGGAGAAGAGGAGGCTGAGGGGAGACCTTATCGCTCTCTACAACTACCTGAAAGGGGGTTGTGGCGACGAGGGTGTTGGTCTCTTCTCCCCAGTAACTAGTGATAGGACAAGAGGAATGGCCTCAAGTGGTGCTAGGGGAGGTTTAAATTGGATATTAGGAAAAATTTCTTTATGGAGAGGGTGGTCAAGCATTGGAACAGGCTGCCCAGGCAGGTGGTGGAGTCACCATCTCTGGAAGCATTCAAAAAACGTGTGGATGTGGCACTTCAGGGCATGGTTTAGGGGGCTTCGTGGCGTTGGATTAATGGTTGGACTTGATGATCTTGAAGGTCCTTTCCAATCTTAGTGATTTTGTGATTCTGATTCTGTGAACAGCATTAATCATTATGGTTACTTGGATTTTTTTTCCACAAAAAGAATGCAAAAACTATCTCTTCTTCCACTGACCTCCCCAGTTATTTAGGCTGACAAAAACATGTAATGTAGACAAAATTTATATATATTTCATAGCTGTTTAACAGTCTTGATGATTACAGTTCTTAATATTTTTATTATCATAGGTTATTAAAAAATACCAAGAGGACATAATTTTTAGTTTTGTAAAATTTATGCAAGACTAACATGTTTTCTCAAAGTGCCTTTATTTTGACACAGCTGTTTTCTTCCAGAGAAAAATAGTTCTCTTACAATTTCTCTGATGACAGCCATGTCATGAGAGGTTTTGAAGACAAGAATGAGGAACCTGCGTGGAAGGTCACTAACAAATGCATTTTTCTTTCCTGGAGGACTTAGTGTCTTGCAACAGGGCTGAGTTTCACAGTCTGAGGAGAGGCTAGTGGATTAACATAGAATGATAGTCTCAGCAAGTTCACACACATGAATCTGAAATAGTCGCAGTGGTTCCACAAGTGCCAGACACAGATGTGCACATGTCCTGGGGATAGCTGATAGCTGATGACCTAGAGAACTTCTGTGGCCATGCCCCTCACTGAACAGCACTACATGCTGAAAAGCCATTGCCATGTGTACCTGCAAGTCACAAATGTAGTCAACAGACGTTCAGGTTGCAGATCCCAATAGATGTTTTCTTACGACAACACAACGAATAGCTACTCTGCACAGAAGGATGTGGCCCACAACTACTGCTATGGGATGGAACTGCTCTCACAGCTGCCATGTGAGTGACTCCTACTTTGGCTCTGAATGTTCCATATTCAAAGCATGAAATTATTTTGTAAGTTGTCCAAGTATCTGTATTAAGCATAAATGACCTAGACAGGAAAAAGGCTTCACTTCATTTTTCTCTTCTTGATTCTCTCTGCCTTGTAGAACAGGGCAGGCCTAAATTTGTTAATAATTAAACATACCCTGTAAAGCCCAAGATTTAATATTAAATTCAGGGATCAGATCACAGAGGTCTATTTGATTACTTAAAAGTAACAAGCTTAGTGATTTTGGAACTAGATTTATTTGGAACATCAACATCTCTTCCAATAACTTTGGGCTAATTTCTGAAGAACTTTTGCTGTGAAAGGAGACACCACATCCACTTGCTTTGGGGCTGCATTTGAATTTCGCAGCTCATCCCAGACTCACTGAAATATTAAGTGAAGTTCACTTTTGTTTAGAGTGAATTTGATTCAGCTGTCATCAAACCTCAGCCCATTCATGGTTTTAAAAGACTACAATATATGCTCCATGACCACACAGAGATCCAGTCACCCAGACATCCAATCGTAGTCAGAATCCCACTTATTAAGCAGACAATTCCTTAAACTCCAACTGTTGAATAGGCTTATTTACACAAATAGACTTATTGGAACTACTTGTGGGCTACAGTTACAAGCATGTACATTTTCCATGGAAATGCTCAGTCTGGCTCTACAGCGTATGTACTGTACACCAGTGCACTTCTGGGAAGTATCAAGCTTATTACACATGTGCTGACCAACTGCACTGCATGCACACACAGAAGGGACAAAGCTCCCAGGAAGCCTCATTCATACAGCATGGGAGATCATGTGGGTGTCCAGGAAACCCCTGGCAAAAATGTGGCAATCCAATTCTCAAAATTGGTTTTGAGGCCATCCAACTAGTTGGCACTTTGCTCTAAAGTAATGTTGAGACAGCATGCTGTGTTTTTATTTTGATGATACCTTCTACACCTACTATTAAAAATGCTGTTACACTGTTTATGAAGCAGAATGTGTGCAAAAAGGACTACAGCAGTACCTAAAATTCACATGACATTTCACAGTCTAAGCAAATTGCATAAACCCAGCATCTGCTCTGTGAAGACAATAATTACCACATTTTAGAAATCGCAAAATACAGATACAGAGCATACTGCCCAGAGCTGTCATGGAACTCAGAGTTCTTACTTTATGGTCTCATATTTTAACTTCCAGACAATGGAACTGAATTAACGAAAATATTTCTAGTCATATCAATTGCAAAACTTATCAAAAATAAAAGATGACATCTAAACTAAATTAACACCTTAAATGTTTTTTTCCATGCTGAGGCTTATAGACAAATTTTGAGTTAAAGGAAGAAACATGATTGCCATATCCAAATCTAAACACATATTCCACCTTTTCTCATAGTGCAGGAAGGTCAAATCCATTAATTTTATGTTGATGTTACTTAGTTGCCTTTAACACAGTTATGCAAAAGATGGATTTTTTCTCTGTTTCAAG